TGAGGATTAATAACAAAAAACTTTCAATGTATATACCCAGCTTTAAGGCACTTATATAGTAATATAATTATTTCAGCTTGTGCATTTAAAGTCTCAGCTGGGTTATTTTTTTGTCTAGTTATTGAAAACACACAGTGGCAGGGGTTAGCAGACCGAAGGATTAAATCTGTATACCACATATTCTTTCTTGTCATTTTCATTGATACAGTAAGATCTGCACTGCATTAGAAGAATACCAACTTTTCTTTAATCTACCTGTTCCCCCCTAATGGGTTTAAGTAATGGCAAACCAAAAAAATTAAGTGACTATGGATCTGAGCTTAAAAAATCTTTGTGCACTCCATTTCCCTCTAAATATCCATCACACCACCAACCTTCAGAATTTTTAAGAATTTTGTATAAGTATCAGTCTATTATATATCTCAAAATGCTTTAATATATAGCTTAAGTTTATCCTTTTCTTTTTTTACAGGAAATCATGTATTTAAAATAGAACTCCACACAATGAAGACTGCTCTTTCAGCAATGGGTTCCCCATCCCACCTCTTCATTTTGTTTCTATATTGTTTGAATATTTTATAAGAGGAGATGCATTACTTTTGTGATAAAAAGACTTTTGCAATGGTTCAAAATGGCTAGTGTTTTGCCAGTACGACCAGCATGGCTCAGTGGTTGAGCATCGACCTATGAACCAGGAAGTCATGGTTTTGATTCCTGGTCAGGGCATATACCTGGGTTGTGGGCTCAATCCCCAGTGGGGCGCATACAGGGGGCAGAACCAAATCCTCTTGCCTTTCCTTTTACAGTCGTAAGCCAAGACTAGGTCAATTAGGTTTCCAGAAGACCCAAACCAGGTCCTAAAAGCCCCCGTACTCGTCCAGTCCCTCCAGTCAAAGCTCACTCAACAATTATTTGTTCTACAAATGAATCACTCCCAAAATTATTTTTATCTCTCAATTCTTTCTTTCACTCATTTTTGTTCCTGCTCACCCCCCACAAGTTTATCCTACTG